GCAGTGCACCTGAGCACGGCGAGCGGTCGGGGCCAAAACGGCCAGGAGGAAGGGAAGAGGGAGGAGGGAAAAGGGAGGAGGGAGGAGAGAGGAGAGAGGAGGGAGAAGGAGGGAAGGGGAGGGAGGATTGAGAGGGGAGGGGGGAGGAGGGGGAGGGGGAGGGGGAGGGACAAGCTAGATGCGCTCGCGTCGTAGCTGACGTCCTACCCCTCCCTCCCATCCATTACCATGGCGTAGATTTCCTCTCTATTCGCGCAATCGGATGTCGAGCAGGACAAGAATCGCGAGAGGGTACGCGATTCATGGTAGAGCACGGCATGGCATGACGTAGAAGAGAACGGCAGAGCGCAGCATGCCATAGCATGGCGCGGCATTGCGCAGTGAAGCCTTCTTGCATCACAAAGAATTGCACTGCAAAGCATGGCATCGCACAGCGGCTCAGAACACAACACTGCACAATATGTCATGGCATGGCGCCAGGTTCTTTGGCGGGTAAATGGATCGAGAGGTCTGCGCCGGTCTGGAGTCGTGGCTCCATGTCTAGGTCCTTGGGCTCCCCGAAAAGCTCCACACAAGGCGGGGCTGATGGAGAGCATCCGGTGGCGCTGCTTTCAACATCGCGGGCGGGGGCTACTGCGGCCCAACAAATCAACGAATCGGCACCGAATGTGTAATCACTTGCGATGGTTTTTGCGGGGGGGGCATTTTCCAGATTTTCGGGCCTACCTGGAAGAAAGACCAGCGCTGCAGCGGGAGCACGATTCGGAACGAGCGGAAGCGAGGAAATGAGGCCACCGCTGTAGCGGGAGCACGATTCGGAACGAGCGGAAGCCCGAACATGAGGCCAACGCCTAAGCGCGAACAACATTTTGACAACAAGCAAAAAACAAGCGAAAACCCAGTTCCCGGGAATCCTGCGAGTAAACAAGCAGTACGCGGAGGGAGGCCGGATATCTTCCGGACGTCATCAGGGGAGAGAGGGGAGTATCCATATTGTGTAATTGTGATGGGAGAAGGGAGCAGAAAGGAGGGAGGAGGGAGGAGAGAGGAGGGGGGAGGGAGGAGGGGGAGGAGGAGGAGGAGGAGGAGGAGGAGGAGGAGGAGGAGGAGGAGGAGGAGGAGGAGGAGGACGATGAGGATGGAGCATGAGGAGGATGGAGCAGGAGGAGGAGGAGGAGGAGGAGGAGGAGGAGGAGGAGTTCTCGTGCGTTTTTTGTTGGCCCCTGCCCGAGACTTCCGGGAGCCCCTTCACAGGCCCCCAGAGAACCCTCGACCTTCGAGGGACCTGCAGGGCTTCCGGGAGCCTCCAGAGGCCTCTGGGGACCTCCCGGGGCCAGGATACAGTGCGGGAGCAACACATACTCCAGATTTCGTAATAGAAGGGAGGGGGTCTCAACCCTCCCAGACGAGAAGTTTCAGACCCCCCCCCCTGGGAGAACCCTCCAGAACATCGTCCCCCAGACCCCCCCAGGCCCTCCAAGATAGCCTGGAAGAGACCCCCCCCGAAATGAGACCCCCCTCCCTTTATTACGAAATCTGGAGTAATCGTCGATTCCGCCGAAAATATGGGAAAATATGGGAAGGGGGGGGGAAGACGAGAACCCCCCAAATATGGGAAAACATGGAGGATATGTTTAGTTGTGTGTATTTATTTGTGTGTCCTGGGGCCCCTTCATCATTCGGGTTGGCCCAAGAGGGGGTCCAGCGACAAGGGGGTGGTGCAATAGGTTTGGTGCAGTAGATTTGTGGGGTTGCAATACGTTTGCGGCGTGCAATACATTCCGGGGCTCAAATGTGTTGCTGGAGTACCATTAGGTCGGGCATGTCCTCCTACAGGCGTTTTTTGTAGGAAGAATGAAGAACGGCCCCAACAGATGCGCAAACGTAGCCAAGAAAGGAAGGACACAAAACCTCGTCTCGAGGCCCTTCTCTGACGACTTCGGACCAGCCCTCCTGTAGAAGGACCTGCCGACGTGCCCGACTTGAGCATGCCAGGCTTATGTCGGGCGTGTCCCCCTACAGGGGGATTTTCGCAGAAAAATTAAAAATAAATACTGCAAAAATGCACCAAAATGGCAAAACAATGCTCAAAAAATAGTCCCCAGACTATTTCTGGAATATTTTTTGACTATTTTGGGGGTATTCTTTATTTTTCGTCGAAAATCCCCCTGTAGGGGGACAGGCCCGACTTAATGCCCGGCGGCGCCCCTGGGCGAGACGAGGGCGGGCAGGGCGGGATGCCGGGCAGGCTCGCGCCGCGCCGGCGCGGGCGCTGGCGTCCTGACTACCTACACCAGACCACCCCAACCCAACCCGAAGACCCGAATTTCGGGTTGGGGGGGGTACGGGTTCCAGATGTGTTTCCTCGATGCTCCCCGACCCCCCCCAACTGGAAATGGAGGGCACATCGAGACCTTCGGGTTGGGTTGGGGTGGCTTGGTGGGTGGTGGCGTCCGACGCCGCGCGGAGCGCTCCGCCGCGGAGCGGCCGCGGCCTCCCGGCGGCGCCGCGCGCTCGACGCCGGCCGCCCGCGGGGCCGCCGCTGGCGCTCCGCCCCGGGAGCGCCCGCGCCTCGCGAGGTCGGCGCCGCCGCGCCGGCACGAGGCGGCTCTCCCGCACAGCGGGGGCCCCGTCCACAAGGGAGCGTCCACAAGGGGCCCTGCCCTCCTCCTCCTCCTCCTCCACCTCCTCTCTCCTCCTCCTCCTCCTCCTCCCTCCTCCTCCTCCCTCCCTCCTCTCCCCTCCTCCTACCCTCCTCCTCCTCCTCCCTCCCTCCTCCTCCCCTTCCTCCTCCTCCTCCCTCCTCCTCCTCCCTCCTGCTCCTCCTCCTCCTCCTCCTCCCCCTCCTCCTCCCGAGGCGCCAGGGCGCCCAGCGGCTTCTGGCGCGGGAGCGCCGCGCCCGCCCTCGCAGGGCCACCGAGGCCCTTAAGGAGCCCAGGGCGCCCTTTGGAGGCCAGCAGTGGGCGCTTCTCGGCACGTGGGCCTCCGCGGCGCGTGTGGGAGGCGGCCTCGGCCCGAGGTGCTCCCAGCTCTTCCAGAGAGGCCCACGCAGGCGTCTCCTCGCCACGCCGGCACGGAAAAGGCAGGCCTCGTGCCCTGGAGATCGCCTCGCGTGGGGCGCGCGACGGAGGGGAAGCGCGACACCGGGGGGAAGGGGGGGGGGAATCGGCGTCGAGCCCGGGGGGGGGGGAGTGCCAAGGAGCGGGCCTTCTCAGAAGGCTCGGGAGGCCCCCGGCCTTCGGGGAAGGCTTCGGAGCCCTGGCCGAAGACACCGAAGACGTAAACCTCTCGGAAGGCCAGAGGGCTTCTGAGAGGCCCGTCCGGCTTCTGAGAAGGCCTCCTTCTGAGAGGGAGAAGGCCTTCTCAGAAGTCCAGCTGACAGGGGGGCAATTGTGCTGCAAACGTGCTGCCTCGAAGAACTGTCTTGCACTGTATTGCAAGTAATGTACTGCACGCGAAAATCCAGCAACACATTTGAGCCCAGAATGTTTTGCACGCCGCAAACGTATTGCAACCCCACAAATCTACGGCACCAAACCTATTGCACCACCCCCTTGTCGCTGGGCCAACCCGAATGATGAAGGGGCCCCAGGACACACAAATAAATGCGTGCCCCCCCCTCTGAGATCTACCTTGAAGCCCTTTTCAAAGCAAAGAAGTACGAGGACACCATCGCTGTCCAATTTTGCAGTAACAATTTACCTCCGCCAAAAGTTGGCACAGAACGTGGATCCCATCTCGGCCCAAAGGTCTTTGCCCCTGTGCCAGTAAAGCCACTGGGCGCTGCGAATTGCAGTGGCGGCCGTCTCAGAATTGGGCACCATTGTCTGGCCACCCAAGGTTGAGCGGATGTATTTCCAAACGCTGTCGATAACCTGGGAGCCGGCCTTGGCGCGCAACTTCCTACCACATGGAAGCTTATGAGTTGCCAAGCGCGCGTAGCACGGCTTCACCCACACCCACTTGCCATTCTTTTTCACTCTCTTTTTGCAGTGCCGCACTGAATCGTGCAACACTCCCTCAACTCGCATGGCGTAGCTCTTAGCGCGGTCCGTATGCAAAATAATGCGCCTACCTTTCAAGTAGCGGTTTGCCAGAGGCGCCCAATCGACCTTCCTGATTGCGCCTGGCCCAGGAGCCCTCTTCACCGTGGGAGCCGCGGTAGTCTTCGCCAGCACCGGCGACTCGGGCAGCCGACCAGCGCAGTCTTCGCCGGATGTCTGTCTTTTCCGAAGCACGAAGAAGACTTAAAGTACCGCGCATCAGGTTTGCAACAAACCTGTGGCGCAATTCTTTTCCATTTCAGAATGCGTCTCGCCGTCCTGGCCAGCAGCCACGCGGTTGCTCTGTCGGGCGCTGAGCTTGCGCCACGCCGTGTCAGGCGGCAAGGCAGCGCCAGGGCCGACGTCAGTGACGAACGCCCACTCGAGCGCCATTGTGGTTCGCAAGAGCAGGGATATGAAGGGGCGCAAATTGCCACAATGAAAACCCGATCAAACGGGGTGCTTGAGCCGATAAACGACGTGCGAAACAGTGGTTGTGAATATCGATGTTATTGACATCCGCTGTGCTTCATCAATCACATAGGACCACTCCCTCCCGCCACCCCGAGAGTGCGAAGCACCACCGAATCCTCCAAACGCGAGCATCCAATATTGGAGTGCTTTCTTCTTTACCCCATCATGTTGACATCTCTAACCTCATAGCTGCCATATTCGGAAATATGAACGGGGGCCGACCAAAAATATTTTCTCCCCGAAAGTGAAAGACGACGCGGGCTCCTCCCAAACGGGGGCATCCAATATTGGATGCCCCTCTTCATTACGAGTGTGTGCACAATATAGTCATGCTCAGAGATGTTTTTACCCCCGCTGCGTTTTCCAGGTTTGAAGTATACATCGTTGTGCTGAACTTCAGGAGAAGAGCAATCCAAAGTACATGTCATCTCATGATAAAGCGAATCGAAACACATTCGGCCCCAAGTTCATGACATCGCACTTCCGCCTTGCTTGTCGTTTTTTTAGGCTTGCACATGCAAGGCCGGTGGCCGAATTCGCCGTTTGCAGAGGCAGCAGGCTACTGGGCGCCAAAGCACCCGTCCCGGTCGCTCGCCCTGGGGCCTCTCGGCCGCCTCACGAGCTCGTAGTAGTTCGCCTGCTGCGCCTTGGAAGCGTTCTGGAGGAAGCGGTTCTTCTCCGTGGAGAGGCCGCGGCACTTCGCCTGATGGAGTTTTGGGAGAGCGGTTTGGTCGCCCCTTGGCGCTCGCCTAGGCGGGCGCCAAGTTTGGCTTGTTTGCTCCGGGGGAGGGGGGTAGGTTTTTTCGCCCTCGAAAGGCCTGCGCCTTCTTGAGGCTAGCCCGCAAGCTCTCGTTCTCCGGCTCCGCCTCGTCCCAAGCGGCCGCCTCGCCCTCCCGTCGGGCTGTGCGTGCTTTCTGCTTCCAGTCGCCTCGCTCCTCCTGAGTCTCCCGCAGCTGCTTGCGCAAGCCCTCGTTCTTGTCCTTCGCGGTGCCCAGGTTCTTGCGGGCGTTCTCGGCCGCGCGCTGTGGGGAAACAGAAAGTTTCTGTGTTGGTCGTTGAACTGTGGTTGTTGTTTCTTTCGCTGGTGTTGTTATGTTGCGTAGCTGCGTGGGGGGTTGCGGTGCTGCCACGTTGGTGGTTACTGAAGCTTTTCGTTTCCATGGTATCGAATGCTGCTTGCTTGCGCTATGTGCTCCGGTGTTTTGTGTGTTGCTTGTACGGAGAGGTGCATGCTTAGTGTCCCAACAACCGTGTGGACGAACACATCACGGCGCAAGTGGAAGTTCTCCTTCTTTTTCTCCTTCACTTCCTTGTGGAGCTCCGTCTGCCTCTTCCTCAAGGCTCCCACGGTGTCGTGGTATTTTTTCAAGTGCACTTTGGCCGCCTTCTGGAGGTACTGCTTGACCCACGGTTTCTTGAGCCAGTTTTGGATAGAGGCTGCCCGTTTGCGATCCCTGCAGTTGTCAGTCTTGGTCTTCACGGCTTTCTTCGTGGACGCAGGCATTCGCGCAGCGCGAGGCCGACAAGGTGAAGCAAACAAATTAAGAAGGTCGCAGACCCGAAGCCGGTACGGCTAAGAATGATGAGGGGGAGAGGGAGGGATAATGAAAAAACAACGTCAGGAACACAAGAATATGAACAGAGAGATTGCGATCATATTCTCTCTAACTACGCCTCCTCCTCCGCCTACTCATCATCATCATCAATACCATCATCATGATCATCATTATCATCATCAGCCTCATCATCGTCATCGTCATCATCATCATCATCGTCGTCGTCATCGTTCTTATCATCATCATCTTCATCACCATAGTCATCGTCACCGTCACCATCATCATCATCACCATCATCGTCAACGCCATCATCATCGTCATCGTCATCATCATCATCATCATCGTCGTCGTCATCGTTCTTATCATCATCATCTTCATCACCATAGTCATCGTCACCGTCACCATCATCATCATCATCACCATCATCGTCAACACCATCATCATCGTCGTCGTCAGCGTCATCGTCATCATCATCATCATCGTCATCGTTCCTCCGCGTCGTCGTCATCCCGCTCTTCCTTCCAATCCCTTGCTGTGTACACTCGTTCTCCTTGAATTCCACACGGCTCCAGAGCATACCAGATCAATAGTTCGACATCGAGCCTTCAATATCCAACGATCAACACCACCTCCAGACCGGCCATCAGTCCCAGGCAGACTGCTGACGGCTCCGCCCCCCCCCCCGCGCCGCCCTCCTCCTCCTCATCGTCATCATCGTCGTCCTCCTCCTCCTCCTCATCGTCATCATCGTCGTCGTCCTCCTCCTCCTCCTCATCGTCATCATCGTCGTCCTCCTCCTCCTCCTCCTCATCGCGCCTGGAGCGGGAGGGCGGGAGAGCGGGAGAGCGGGAGAGCGGGAGAACGGGAGGGCGGGAGAGCGGGAGAGCGGGAGAGCGGGAGAGCGGGAGGGCGGGAGAGCGGGAGAGCGGGAGAGCGGGAGAGCGGGAGAGCGGGAGAGCAGGAGAGCGGGAGAGCGGGAGAGAGCGGGAGAGCGGGAGAGCGGGAGGGCGGGAGGGCGGGAGCGGGAGAGCGGGAGAGCGGGAGAGCGGGAGCGGGAGAGCGGGAGAGCGGGAGCGGGAGAGCGGGAGAGCGGGAGAGCGGGAGGGCGGGAGCGGGAGAGCGGGAGAGCGGGAGAGAGCGGAGAGAGCGGTGCCGGCCGGAGCGGCCGGGGCGGCTCTCCCGCTCTCCCGCTTCTCCCGCTCTCCCGCCTCCCGCTCTCCCGCTCTCCCGCCTCCCGCTCTCCCGCTCTCCCGCTCTCCCGCTCTCCCGCTCTCCCGCTCTCCCGCTCTCCCGCTCTCCCGCTCTCCCGCTCTCCCGCCTCCCGCTCTCCCGCTCTCCCGCTCTCCCGCTCTCCCGCTCTCCCGCTCTCCCGCTCTCCCGCTCTCCCGCTCTCCCGCTCTCCCGCTCTCCCGCTCTCCCGCTCTCCCGCTCTCCCGCTCTCCCGCTCTCCCGCTCTCCCGCTCTCCCGCTCTCCCGCTCTCCCGCTCTCCCGCTCTCCCGCTCTCCCGCCTTCCCACTCCTCCCGAATTTCCACTTCTCCCGCCATCTCGCTCTCCCATCAGCGGCTGGAGAGCACGTTATCGAAAAAAGGTGGTTGAGGTAGATCTCAGAGGGGGGGTCCCATATTTGGGGGGTTCTCGTCTTCCCCCCTTCCCATATTTTCCTATATTTTCGGCGGAATCGACGATTAATTATGTCTGTGTTTTTTCCCTCCTGAAATTGAGAAGCTCCAGGGAGGCCCAAGCGGCCACCATGGCATCAGCCACGGGTCCCAGAGGGCCCTAGGGCCTCGGGGAGGCCGGAGCAGCGCGAAACGCTCGGGGGGGGGGGGGGCACCGCGGGCCAGCATCAATTCTGGCAACCTCCGAAAGGCGGGTGTGGGAGGTGCTACGTTTGGCCCCCGGCCCTCCTCGAGGATCGGGGAGAGATTTCCGACGACATCGGACGGTGATTGGACGCTTTCGGCCCGCTTCGGGCCTCCAGGGACCTCCAGGGACCTCTGGGGACCTCCGAGGACCTGCAAGGACCTCCGGGGACCTCCGGGCACCTCCAAGGACCTCCGGGGTTAAGGATCCGGGGCGGGAGCGAGACGTACCAGGAATGGGAGGAAGCGTCACCGCTTTCCTCCAAATCTCTCCTTGCCGTCGCTCGGACGACAAGTCCCCGCGCATATGTCAGCGTCGCGCGAGTATTCTTCATAAGAACGTGCAGGATGGTTCTCGATGGTCCTCGCCGAGAAAAAGCGCACCTTCCGAGCGATGCCAAGTTCCAGGTCAGACGAGCGGAGGGAGTGGCAGGTCGGGAGGGAAAACCAACTGCAAGCAGCTGGTTCGCACGCGCCTCGTGGCGCCAGGAGCGACTGTGTATCGAGGAGCGCGCTGGGCGGCGGTGCCAAAACCAACTGCCAGTCTCCCCCGCGCGTCCGCCCCGAACCTCCAGCTGACACTGCTGCCCCTGTCGCTGTCTTCGGCCCTTTGATCCTCTTCCGGCAACTTCTCTTTTCCCCTCCCCTCCCACTTTTATGTTTCTCCCCCTGCGATTATAGCACTACCCCGCTCGCCTCAGAAAAAGAAACGGACCAGAGCCACCTCCATTGGTCACAGCCAGGAGCTGCGTAAGTATGGTCGCTCGCTTCGGCCTGGGCCCCTGCACAGAACGGTGCATGCCGCGGCCGCTTGTCACCACCCAGCCGCCCAAGCGCAGCGCTACAGCAGCACCCACAGCACAGACAAGTCGGTCAGTCAATCACACGGGCGTCGTAACCACCACCATCACAACAATCAGGAGAGGCGAGGAGGAAGAGGAAGAGGAGGAGGAGGAGGAGGAGGAGGAGGAGGAGGACCAGGAGGACGACGAGGAGGAGGGGGGAGGATGTAGGGAGGACGAGGAGAAGGAGGAACAGCGTTGCAAGATAGGTATATCCTTCCTTGCCTACACCGACTCGGATCGGGCCTCGACCACAATCTGGCGGAGGGCAGATGTCTCCAGAAAGTGTCGCTGCCTGCCACGGAGCGGGAGTCGGAGAGCAGCAACTCGTACCGCACCGGTGAAGTCGGCAGCATCTTGATTTGTCAGAGGGCGGTCAAGTGACTTGGCTCGAATGGCCGCAAGACGAAAACAATGATAGAAGGCAAGAGGATAGGCGAGATGGCCACGCAGCCCAGGACGGACGAGGAGAGAGGAGGGGAGGTCAGAGCGGAGAGCAATGGCAGCACGGTGGTGGAGACGCATGCAGTGACAGAAATAAATGTGTGTGTGATCGAAGCCGATGGCACGCTTCCTCAAAACCGAAGATACACCCTGGGAGCCGCTGCATCCTGTGTCCTGTGACCCAAGCCCCCACCCAAGTTCGGATGCACACGCTGGACCAGCTGGGCGGGGCTTGGGCTAAGGCTCGCTGCACCCCCCCCGAGTCAACGACACCCACACCCAACGACGGGACGAACAATTTCCGAATGCGGCGCTCAAACAAGGGGCCAGCGGCAGGTAGCAGATCTTGCCCATGAGGGCTGCATGTATCACTCGCTGCCAAGTGGGGGTTGCGATCCTGGGAGCCAGCACGGAACGCCTCCACCGCCCTCCGCCCACCTGCCCGCAGCCGAACGTCCTGAGAAAACCCTCTGGCAGCGCCTCTGAGATCACAAACGATGGGGCGCGACTTCCAGAAGCTCGGGGCCTGAAGTGGGCTCGCCGAGAGGGCCATGCTGCAGCGGTTCCTAATCTCGGACTCCAAGCGCGCGAGCGCAGCTTGCCACCGCGGAAGCGTGGCCAGGGCCGCCCTCCTCTATGCAGACCGCGGAAGACACGCGCAGGGAACGAACCTTCGGCCCAGAGAAGCACCCTACGTTGACCAGTCGCTATAGCGGAACTCCGAGACAGGCATCTTGAAGATCTGCGCGAGCAACGTCCTCTCAGTGCCCGAATCCTGCCACGACGGCGGAAAGAGCTGAGCCACGCAGGAGGTGACGGAAGGAGCACAAGTGAGGTGCAGAGAAACGCCCGTGGCAAGGCCTCGCCTGCAATCGGCGATGGCGCGAGTCCGCCGGATCAGCTTGCTCACAGGGTCGGCCCAGTTCCCCCGCCCATCCGCATCTTGGCCAGTCCAACTGCCGAGACGAGGAGCGAGCAAATTTAACTCCTCGAGCTGGGCATTCAGTTGTGCTGACTGCGGGGCAACGAAACATCTGGAAGCTCCCAACGCGAGCCCTGCAGAGGCGGCCGCGCTCTTGAACGCGCGGGCCGGCTCCCGAAAGCCCTTGAAGGCCAGGACAACCGTGGCGATGTCGTCGACGCATGCTCTAACCTGGCCGCGCCCTGGGACCTGGACAAGTGGACTCTCAGAGATCGCGAACAAGCCCCAGCTCAGCGGGCATCCCTGGAGGACGCCTGAGTGCAAATAGCACGGGGGGACCAAGCGTCTCTGACAATGAGAGAGACGAGGGCTCAGGACATAAAAGCCTCGAGCCAGTTGCTTGCGCCCCCTGGGAAGTTCCACGAAATCGACCGCCATCAGGAGCCAGCTCTGGCCCACCGAAAGAAAGGCCCGGGGAAAGTCATGCGCGGGAAGGGCGGCCGCGGGGCGTTAGCTGGCAATTGTTATTTCTTTGTTGCACGAAAAAATTTAATGAAGCCGCCCTGACGAGAAGCTCAAATCTGCCGCGCCACGGTGGACAGCCCCACATTCGCCATCGCGGCGACGACCTTATCTGAAGAACTCTTGAGACCGATCGGGCGGGCCTCGGTCGCTCTCCGACAGATGTCCCGGCCGATCGGGTCGCCCCCCATCAGGGGCCACATCTGGGAATGAAAACCTTGGCCGAGGCGAAGCAGGATAGAAGCGCGGGGGCGCCCTGGGAGAGCCAGAAGAAGACGCGCAGGAGGACCCCGGGGCCACCTCCCGCGAGCCACGCTCGACGCGCCTAGCCGTCAGGGCCCGGCTCCGCCACGGGGGCCCGTCGCAAAAAGTTCTTGCAAAGCGAAAGGGGAGGTCAGCGAAGTCGGGGAACGCGGCAGAGACCCGCTCGAGATACCTCGGGCCCCGAGCGGAAACCAGGCGAAGCTTGTTTCAGACATCGGGCCCCAGTTGCCTCGGAGAGCTTCGGTCTGGGCCGAAGCAGAAGTCGCGCGCCCCTCTCCCGCCTCGCCGGACCCAGCCACTCCCGCGCTGCACCTCCCCCGATCCAATGGGGGCCAGAGGTGGGCCCTCCGCGCCATCGCGCGCAGCGGGCCCCGGGCGCGAGTCCTGCAGGATGGACCACCCCCAGCCTTGCCCTCTCGTCGGGCCATCGCCGCCGCAGTTGCAGCTTGGCACTCCCGGTGGCGAACAGCAGCGCGAGCTCTCTGAAACGCCCCTGGGGGAACCAGAAAAAGACCTCGAGCGACGGGGGGCCCGAGATGCAGGACAGCTCGCGCATCCGCCCTTGCCTCTCCAAGAGCGCGGGGGCCAGGCGCAAATCCCGCCCCCGGGCTGCGCGCCCGAGGGAGCGGAGGGCCAAGGCTGGCACGGCATCCACGGGGGGGGGGGGGGGGCAGCAGCAAAGCATCGGTCGATGCGCGCCGACGACTCGGCCCCGCGGCGGCAGCGGCCGATGCCCAGGGCGGCCAGCTCGGCGAGCCGGCGGGGGAGGGCCTTCCAAGGGCGAGCGCCCGAACGCAGCTGCCTGCCCACCGAGCCGCGGCTGCCCCGGGGGGGGGGGGGGCCCGCCTTGCGACGGGGCCGGCAGCCGACGCCGACGCCCCACGCCGACGCCCCAGTCCAGCGGCGGCCGACTCAACCAGGTCATCATTGATGTTGAAGTCGCCAATCAGGATAAAACTGTCGGCGAAGGGCGCAGATCTGACAACGTCAATCTGGGCCAGGATGGCGGATCGAATCCCGGCGATGTCACCGCGCCCCACGTCGCGGTCGCGGGAGTTCCAATGGAACCAAAGAAGGCCCGAGCACACGCGGACAATCTCGTGCATCAAGGCCCCGCCCGCGGCATAGACCTGAGGCGAAATGCCGAGCATCCGCGTCGCAGCCCTCGGCGCCAAGGCGCACGCCCCACCCGCGCACGTCAAGGCAGCAGGAGGAGCGTCGCCAAGCCAAGCCAAGCCGACCAAGCAGTGCTGAGACAGCGTCGCCGGGCCCATGGACCCCCTGCGCGGCAGAGATGGCAGGCGAGCCCAGCGGTGGCCGCGGCGCCCCCGCCTTCCGCGCCAAGGAAATCGACTGGCAATGCAACGGGGCCCGAGCGTTCCACGAGCCAAAGACACCGCGCCCGGCGCCCAGGATATCGCCACCCACCCCACTGAATCTGCCGAGGCTCGAAGAGGCGCGAGGCGAGACGGGCGAGGTCGGCGCGTGCCAGGTTGCGGCCCGCCAGAAGGCCGGGGCCCCACTGGACCCTGGGAGGCTCGGCGGGATCGACGAGGACTCTGGCCCGCAGCTCCCGACCGACGGAGACAGCCCCCGCATCGCGATCCATGACTACCCGCCGCCCCAAGTGCTCAGCTGGAGCCGCCCGCAGCTCCTCGACCGCTCGGCCGGGGGCGGTCTCGCTGCGGTCGCGGGCAAGTCCGACACGCAGCTGCGCCCGCCGATGGCCAGGAGGCCTCTCCGCGGAGAACTGCATGCAGGCACCAATAGAGCCGCGCAGAAGAGCGCGAGCCCGCCGCACTCGCGACGCCGCCGCGGCCGCCAGGCCGGCGGACGTGACCGCGAACCCAGAGGTCCTCAGGATCCACTTTCTGGATCCGGAAGAAAAGTGGATCCAAGACGAAAAGTGGATCCGGAAAAAGGTCCAACAGAAAAGTGGATCCAGTAAAACACGTTTTTACATAGGTATGCCATTTCTATGTATATTTATATATATATATATATGCATGTACGCTTATATGTGCATATATACACATATACCATATCAACATTATATACATATGTATGTGTATGTATATGTGTATATATGTACAACTACATACATGTGCGTACGTGTATATGCACATTACTTCCATGTACACACGCCCGTACGTTCCTCTCGTGTTGTTGCCGTCTCTCTCGCTCGCGCCTCCCTCGCTCTCGCTCTCCCGCCTCTCGTCCACCTCAAGGCCGCGCGCCGCGGCCGCGCGGCGGCCCCGCCACCGCGCGCGCGGGGCGGCCGCAGAGGAGGCCAGGAGGCCAGGCAGAGGAGGCCAGGAGGCCAGGAGGCCCCAGGCAGAGGAGGGCTAGGAGGCCAGGCCCCAGGCAGAGGAGGCCAGGAGGCCCCAGGCAGAGGAGGCCAGGAGGCCCCAGGCAGAGGAGGCTAGGAGGCCAGGCAGAGGAGGCTCGGAGGCCATGAGCAAAGGTGGCAGAGGAGGCCAAGCCAGGCCAGCCTCCGAGCTCACGAGCGACCAGACAACCAAGCTGGCGCGGGTGATGCTGAAATCCGTCCTGGATCCCGAGAGTGTGTGCGCCGATACGGACGGGACCTCGGCCGATGATGTGGTGGAGCACGTGAAACTCGTTTCAGGCATCCGCGCTGTCTTGGCGCCGCGCGACACGTGCAGCCAGTCGCAGCTGACGTCCGTCCTCGTCGCACACGCTCGGGTGAAGGAGTCCAAGTGGCAGCTGGACGACACCGCCGAGAGCTGGGCCGATCAGGTGGCCACGAAAATACCACGGGGCTGTCGCCGCTACCGCCGCTGGTCATGGGGATGGGGAAGGATAGGGTGGGAGAGAGGGGGGAGAGAGGGAAAGAGAGAGAGAGAGAGAGAGAGGAGAGAAGAGAGAGAGAGAGAGAGGGGGAGAGAGAGAGAGAGAGATGAGGCTATGGGCGGAGGTTGGGGAGGGAGGGAGGGGGTGAGAAGGGGTCGGGCACGATGCAATTTATGCCAAATTTATTCCAAAATCATTCTGGAATAAATTTGGAATAAATTTGGTAGACATTGCATCTTGCAAGCCCTCTTCGCGCCTCCAGCCTCAAACATCGAACCTCCTGGGCCCGATGCAACTTCCACACGCTCAACCCCCACCCCAAGGAAGGGGGGGGCAGCGGATTCGTGCCATGCTGCGCGTGGTGAGCCAGGCAAAGATCAAGGCGCGAGACAGGGAGCCCTACGCGTGGCTGGAGGACCACTTCCCAGAGGTGGTGCAGGACGCGACGGGGGCGGGAAGCTGGGAGGATGGAGCAGGCGAGGAGTGAGTGTAGGTGCAGCGACGGGGCGACGGCGATGACGAGGACGAGGGAGGATGAGGATGACAGAGGGGGTGGTGAGGAGAGGTCGGGCCCGATGCAAGTTCGCCGTCTCCACGCCTCCGCATCCCGCGCACCCCCCCTTCAGGAAGCAAAGACGAAGGCCGCGGGCGAAAACTACGACTACGAGTGGGACAACAACAAGAAGGCGGCGTACCGCCAGAAAGGCCCTGCTAAGAGGCGCTCGCCGCCAGAGTACGGAGTGCCCATGAAGGGGCAGCAGCCAGACGAGGAGCTCGCCTTCACGTGGCCAGACGAGGCGGTGTGGAAGGTGCCAGGATACACGGTGCGCGAGCACCAGGCCAACGTTTCCGACAAGAAGGGTGGCTCGAGCGGCGATCTGCACCATGTGGATACGGATCAGGGCTCCGTCACCGTGACGAAGTACTCGAGGCCGCCCGCTAAAGCTGGCGCCGACAGGCAAGAGTTCGTCGCCGTCTGGATCAAGAAAGAAGGCGATAAGAGGCCAGCGATGGTCGGGCAGGTGACGGTGAAGCCACATTTCGAGAAGCTCGAGGAGTTCATGATCAAGCTCGCGAAGAATTACGCAGGAGACTTCAGCCAGGAGAAGTTCGAGCTCGCTAAACAGGAGTACCTCAAGAGCTATGGCGGGTACGGCGGGCACAAAAAGGCGGCGAAGAAAAGGCCAGGGGCGGCGGAGCCAGCGAAGCCAGTCGAGGACGAGGCAGTGAGGAAAAGGCCAGCAGCACGTGCGCCGATGCGAAAGCCATCGGCACACGAACCAGAATGTGCGCCAGAGGGGGGCGACGAAGACCAGGAGATGGAGGCGGAAGAGGAGGAGGATGAAAGCGCCGCTGAGGACGAGGATGAGGGTGAGGATGAAGGCCCAGGCGAAGATGAGGACGACGACGGCGATGGCAACAGCCAGGCGTCGAGCCAGAGCCAGAGTGAGGAAACGGTCGCAGCCGCGACCGCGGCCAGGAAGGACACAAAGAAGGATGACCCCGAGCAGAAGCGCCCCCCAAAGAAGGACAAAACGACGAAGATGGGGGAAAACCCTGAGAAGAAAGACTCCAAGAAGCGCATGCGCAGCCCAGAGAAGAGGAGCCCGAGGAGCGCAAAGAGGAGCGCAGCCCAGCACGCCGTGAGCGATTCGGACCTCAGCGTGGGCTCGGGCTTCGGAGGCTAGGAGCGGCAGAAGAGGCAGAGGAGGCTGAGGAGCGAGGAGGAGCGAGGAGGAACGAGGAAGCTCGAGTGGCTCCAGGCTCGCGAGCTCTGCGTGAGGAAGCCCGCGCGCAGGCCGCCGCCCCTCCGGCCTCGCGGGCAGGAGGCTGGATCCCACGTCCGCCGCGCGGAGAGGCAAGTCAATGGCGGGGGGGTGAGTAGGTGGAGGGGTGAGTGGAGCGGTGAGTAGGCGAGTGAGGGTGGAGGTGTGAGTAGGAGGGGTGGGAGGGTGGGGGGGAGGGGTTAGTAGGAGGGTAGATGGGGTGAGCAGGAGGGTGGAGGGTGAGTAGGAGGGGTGGAGGGGTGAGCAGGCGGGTGGAGGGTGGCAGGGGCGAAGACGAGCGCTGCGTGGGGGGGCGCATCGGCAGCCACTCTGGCTCAAGGACAACACGCATGCCGCGCGAGCAGCCCGCCGTCAAGTTTGCAGATATCAGGAAGTACGCCGTGATAGTGCCGATGAGTCAGGTCAAGGCCACGCCGCCGAGGCGCCGTCGTTCTGCCAAAAGCAGCTCTGGCAGCACGAGCGGCCAAAGCATTACGAGCAGCCCCCATGCGGCCAATAGCCCATCAGAGCTCACCCCCGCCACCCGCAAGAGCTTCGAAGATGTCGAGGAGTGGATGCTTGGCAGCATCGATCTGGGAGGAGGCCGCCTGTCGACCGAGGAGGAGGCGGCTGAGGCTGAGGAGAAGAATGAGGCGAAGGAGGTTGAGGCTGAGGAGCAGAAGGAGGCGAAGGAGGGTGAGGCTGAGGACGTGGATGTGGTTGGGGATGCGGCTGAGGAAGCGAAGGCGGCTGGAGAGGGTGAGGAGGAGAAGAAGGTTGATGACGATAAGGCCAAGGAGGAGGCGGCGAAGAAGGCTGCAAGCGAGTCGGAGGACGAGCAGCTCCAGGACATCGCTGAGCAGGTTAAGAAGGCAAAGGCGGCCAGCATGGCGACGCTGAAGAAAGAGCAGGACCGATCGCACCACCTTCAACGCTCTCTCGCCAACCCATCTTGCCATCCCCCATCCGTCCTTGCCGCACCGCCCCGAGGAGCGCATCGTGGCTCGCATCGCGGCTGATGGTGCAGCAGAAGAAGAGGGCTCGAAGGACTGCCCCCCCACCCGCGATGCAATTTCTACCAAATTTATTCCGAATTTATTCCAGAATAAATTTGGAATAAATTTGGTAGAAATGTTGATCGGACGTCTGTATAGTTTCAGCGTGTATGTGTGTGTGCGTGCGTGCTTGATGTACGTGTGTTGTATGATGATACACGGAATACTAAAAGAAAATAGCACGCGCGCACGCAATATTATATATATAGCAAACGAGAAAACACAACACCACACACAATACAAAACAAACACGTACAGGAGGCAGCGCAGCCGAAGGAGAAGAGCCGCAAAGCAGAGGAGGAGGCGCAGAAGAGGGTGAGGAGGCAACCTGATGAGGACGAGGCGGCACGTCTGAAGAAGGCGAGGGGCAACTCGAGATCGTCCTCACCCCAATGTGCGAAGCCTGCGTGGGCTGGCGTGCACTGCGGAGACGGCGAGTCCCCCGCCCCGACATCGGTGGCATCGAGCGGCTCCTCGGGAATAGCCCCAATCGGGGGTCACCGTTCGATGGGCATCACGGCCACTTCTCGCGAGCCGATTGGAACATCCAACCATATGTTCTCGAACACGTTCCCCGACAGCAAGGAGTGTCTGATATCGGCGATCGACTGCGAGATCAGAGCCATCAACGACGAGATGGCATGCCATCCATGCCCCGACGAGCGCACGATGGAGCATGCGAACATCAGGCTGGGACAGTTCTTTCAGTCTGGGCTCGTACAGAAGATGGCAGCGTTGAAGAAAGCAGATCCCAGCTTCAACTACGAGGATGAGGAAAAGCTCCCAGAAGAAGGTGAAGATGCGGACGACGGCCTCAGTAAGAAAGACAAGGAGGAGAAGAAATTCTATGAGGAGCTGGAAAAGAACAACTTCATGTTCACCACGGAGACGAGATCGGGAAACAAAGTCGGTGGGCGTTGGAGCAAGGCGCTAGCGGCGTCCGAGAAGCTGAGGAGGGACTACGCGGAGCAGAAGGGATGGCCAGCCCAGCGGACGTTCAGAGCGAACTGGCTCAAGCTCGAGAAGGCGGCTTGGGAGAAGACGGTGACGTACGTGAAAAAGGAGACGCATGAGAAGGAGGATAAGAAAAAGGGCGAATACGTCACCCTGATGAGGCTGGCGTGGCTCAAGGGTGGCGGCACCGCGGGCCTCCGCCTGGCGCTGAAGCACGCGTCGAACGCGATGCTGCTGGGCGGGTACTGGGTCCGGTGGGACGACATGTCCGAATCAGTGGAGTTCTTGAACATCAAGCACCAGCTAATCGAGACTTTCAAGAAGAGCTGGTCGAAGCATAAATCGTGGGTGGAGCAGAGGACTGCTATCGAAGGCCCAGCACCGTCACGTGCAATCGCGGGTGGTGTCAACCAGCTCCGCGATGAGGAGAAGAATGCCGACAGGGAGAACAAGGACAAGGTGGGTGACAAGGGTACGTCCATGAAGGAGGAGTCTAAAGAGGACAAGAAAGACAAGACGGCAAAGAAAGACAAGAAGCACAAAACAGAAAAACATGAGGTTGAGGAGGAGACAGCCTCGGGTGATGGCAAGGCGCACAAGAAAGACAAGAAGGCTACGGACGGCAAGGATGCCAATAAGGACACAAAGGACAAAGACGGCAAGAAAGACAAAAAGGACAAAGACGACAAGACAGATAAAAATGACAAAGACGAGAAGAACGACAAAAAGAACAAAGGCGAGAAGAAAGACAATAAGGATAAATACGACAAAGAAAAGAAGAAGACGCCAGAATTCCTCGTCAAGTTCAGGTCGCTGAAGCAGAACTACGACTGGGCAATCAGCCAGCATGCCAAGCTCGACGGGCTCATCAAGTCCAAGGACCAGTCATGGAAGATCGTCGGCAAGCTTCGTGAGCCCATGGACCTTGCGATGCAGGCCGTGAACGCCAAGTGTCAAGAGCACGGCCTCCTGTCGATGATGGCCCTTGCGGAAGCGCAGTACAAGAAGCAGGTGCACCGACGACGACGACGCCGACGACTACGCCGACGACTACGCCGACGACGATGACGATGACGATGACGATCACGACGACGACGGCGACGACGCCGACGACAGGTGGGTGATAAAGAGTTCGAGAACGCCGTTCAGAAGGCGAACGCTACGCTGACCCAGAACGTCACTCAGCTGGCCTCAGAGGTGAGGATCTTGATAAACCAGAAGCTTGCGAGGGATGAGGAGGATGCGAGGCAGAGGGCAGCGGAGAACGGAGACAGCGCGAAGAAGGGCACGAGCAGCAGGAAGAGGAAGGATGCGAAGGAAGAGGCGGCCGCGAAGCGCAAGAAAGGCGAGAAGGAGGGTGTGTCGTCTGAGTCGGACTGAGGGCTGCAGCGAGGCATGCAAGAGGAGGCGGAGGAGGACCAGAGGAGGCCGCTGCATGCAGCAGCTGTTCTGAGCGCGGGCCGCCGAGTGAGCGGCGTGCTCGAGGGCCAGCAAGCCACCACCCCTAGACCCATGGATCCACTTTCTGGGCCCCACCTCCTGGATCCACTTTGTTGTGGATCCAGATTTTCCTGGATCCACTTCTCCCTGGATCCACTGTTTTTCCTGGATCCACGGTTCCCTGGATCCACTTTTTCCTGGATCCACTTTCCCTGGGACAACGAACTGCAAAGTGGATCCAAGTGGCGGGGCTCGGGAAGTTGATCCAGAATCTGAGGAGCGGGCCTGGAGGGCGCGAGAAAAACACAGCGATCATTTCGGAAGTTTCTGAGATTTCTGGAGTTTCTGGAAATTTTCAAAAATTTTCAGAAATTCGAAGGTTTTTTCAAAAATTTCTGGATTTCCCGGGAATTTCAGGATTGTTTATTTTTTTCCAAAAATTTCAAGATTTTCCCGGAAATGTCCGGGAATTCCGGGAGGCGAACGCACAAGTATAAAGTAGAAAAGACGTAGAAAGTATAAAGTATAAAAGATGTAGAAAAGACGCCCGGGCATATATATATATATATATATATATATATATATATATATGAAAAGTACACAACCACCAGACTTTATACCAGGAGAAATTTAGTATAAATTTAGTATAAATGATTTGGGGTGGCGGAAGCCGGGAGGCCGAACCAGATTTTCCGGTGCGCACACTGTGCGGCGCAAGATTTCTCCGCGCCGTCATGGGGGCGGAGGTCTAATCCTGGATCCACGTTTCGTGGATCCAGGATCCACTTGATTTGTGGATCCACTTTTCGTGGATCCACTTTTCGTGGGTTTGGAGGGGGGTCGGCGAGGCTCCAGCTTGGCCCCGAGCCCGCCCGTGCGCCTTGCAAGTAGGCATGCGATCTGAGGGAGCGCCCACTAAGTGGACGCGAGCGCCATGCCGAACGTGACAAGGCGATCGATCGGGCGAGCATGCGCGAGAATGGAGCACGCAGCATCAGTGCGCGCATCAGATACAGTCTCTGTGCAGCTGTTTCAGGTCAAGCTGAGACGGGGAAGCGTCGCACCAACGTTCAGTATGTGTTCGGGAAAGATGGCGCGCGCAAGCGCGCGGCGGGGTCTGCTGCGTTTGACATGCTGTTGACATTGTATGGGTCATGCAAGAAAACCTCGTCGAAAGATTGTTGTGTTCTCTGCTTCTACCTGCGAAAATGCGGGATTGCTGGGGGGCAGTGGGGCACATTTGCGATGCCACCAGACAAGCAGACGGGCAAATACAAGCAACGGATGGACAGACATCTGCCAGGCCCTGGGCCTCTGTACACAGCGAAGTTGCCTGCTACTGTGAGGAGGAACGCGCACGTGAGGTCAAGGGACATTGTGTTTCGAGAAGTGTTTCGGACTGTCAGTGATGAGGTGAATTCATCTCCCGACACACAAGCAGTGTTGGCGGACGGGCCGTGCGATGATCCCAATAGTGTGCTGTCAGTGCCGTGCTATAGGGAACGCCCGCTTGTTCGACAATGCGTCGATGCTACAGGGAAGTGGCCGTTGCCACTGGCTCTCTATATAGATGGAGTTAGGTACACACCCATCTGCGCTGGCCGATCTGATTATGCAGCTTCGCGAGGCACGCTGGGGGGGCATCATCATTTCTACCACATTTCTACCAGTAGAAATGTAGAATAAAGTTAGTAGAAAGTTGATCGTGCTCACAGCCCCATGCCCCTTCCTGGGGTCGCGGTCAATCTGTTGCAAGTGAGTGTGGTAAACATGGTATCGTATAAAAGACACATGATGGGGTTCATGCGACATAACGAGTTGTGCGATTGTGGCTGTGGCGGGCATTGCTCAATCCACGGCATGTTGCAAGTGGCCGCGTGGCAGCTCGAGGCTCTGACCGACGGGCTCGTTCCACGCGAGAGGCACGACGGAACCCCATGGCCCACCCACATTTGCCCTAGTGATGTCGGAAAAAAGCTCGGCGTTAGGTGCGAGGTCCTGTATGTGAAAGGGGATTGGGCTGAGTTCTCGAAGTCGATGGGTTTAGCTGGGTGGGGCAACACGTGGCAGCCATGCCCCATTTGCCCAGTCCAGAAAGATGCAATGCATGCATGTCTAACGTGTGGCGTTTCAGCGGACGGCCTCCAGATGCCCGACCGACGCCATGCCGATTACGAGGTCGCTTGTGGAAAATGCGAGAAGACAGTGGCCGTCACAACTGTAGCTATACGGAATGAGATATGGGCAGCATTGGAAGCCCAAGAAAAACAAGGGCTGGTGTTGAAATCAGACGTGCATGGGCTTGCCGCAGGGGACCGACTGGAGTGTTCTCGAGAGCTTATGGTGCCCACAGGGTTTCACGAGAAGAGCGTCCCGTTCAGGGCGACCTTTTGGAGGACTCGTTTTGATTGTCTCAAACGTTGTATCGATTCAGTGCGACACAGGTGTCCGTTGTTCTCTACCAGGCTCGGTACCTCACCTGCGCGCTCCCTTGCCATAGACACGTTGCACACAGTATATCTCGGCATAATGATGAGGATCACTTGCGCCATCTTGATGAGACTGCTGTGGGCCAACCCGTGGGACGTAAGTGAAGCGAAGAGGATACAGAGGCTGGAAGCTGATATGTTTGTGTATTACGACACGAAAAAGATACCGCACCAGAACAGGGTCAACATCATGACGCCAAAAATGATGCCAACCCCAAATGATCCAGCGCACGCGGGTGGCATTCTAAAGTTGAAAGCATCTGAGACATATGTGGTGTTGAAATTTGCAATATATGAGCTTGAAAAGTTTCCAAGATGTGATATCTACAAGGGCAGGGAGCTGTTGGAGGCCGCCCGTGCACTGGTGACGTGGGTGCAGACAGTGCGTGAGTCTGGAGCCCAGCTGACGCGTGACCAATACCAGACTCTCCTGGACTGTGCCAACCGCACGCTGGCATATGCCGACCAAGCGGGAGTTTGGCCTACACCGAAGTTCCACACGTTCGGCCATGTCACTGCCAGGAGCTGGCGCATGGGAAACCCATCGGTCTACGACACTTTCGTCGACGAGGCCCTGAACCTCGCATTGCGGACCTGTGCAGAGAGGAGCCACAGGAGCACGATGGAGGTGTCTGTATTTACATGTTTCGGGATCATGGGTTGCCTTAGCACTGACGTGCGCATCTTTGCATCGACGGACGTCCACCCTAGATACAGAGGAGATGGTGGAGGAGTGCACGTGTGGCGGAGCGGAGAGGAGGTTGCGGCAGCGGAGGAGGAGGAGGAGTTGGACGACGAGGCAGCTGCAGGAGACGTTGGATGAGCAAAAACACCACCCACACCCCCCCTTCAGCAAGATGCAACACTTTCTGTTTTCGAGTGGAGACTGTTCCGTGTAGAAATCACCCCCAGGTCAAACGGGAGCCCACGTTGCGTGCGTGATATCTGAGAGAGGGGGGGGGGGGGGACGCGTCTCGCCAGGAGGCCCTGGGTCTGACGGAGATGATGCGCCGCCGCCTCGGCCTGTGAAGCGGTTGCGCGGTCGCTTAGACGAGCCTGGCAAAAAAAGCTCGGGTGCCCATGGGACTGTGCACGGAGAGAGAGGGGCGGTCGCGTCGAGCACGCGTCCATGTGTGTTCCTTGCCGCAGTGTCCTTTTAGGATCAGGCCTCCGACGGCCAGCCTGCTCGGGCGCAGGGGCGACGAGCGAATGGCACATGACGGATGGGGGTACTGGCAGCGAGTGCTCTCGACAGTTGCAGTAGCACCTCGGTCTCCTCCGTCCCACGAGCTGCATGCGGGTGCTGCGCGTCGAAACGTCAACTTGTATAGGCGGGGTGGGAAAGTAGATGGAAGGGAGGGGAAGTGCAGGTACGATGGGGGATGGTAGCCAGGTGCAGCACTATCGTGGACAGTGACTCCGACACGGATCGCGCCAACGGCGTGGTGTTACCGATTCGGAGGAAGGTTCGGTTCGCGATGCCGCGACGGGTGTAAACTCACGGGGCATGACGTCTGATGGGGGACGTGAGGTCGACCTTGCACCCCCACCCTGTGATCCTGGGCCCTGGTATCTCTCCAACAGCGCATCGGGATTCCGCCCAGGCCTCGGCCTGGCTCTTCCGACATAGTGGAGTACGAGATCTACGACGGTTGCCACATGGAGAAGAGGACACATCCAGTTTTAGGCATGGGTTAGCATATGTTGAGATGCGCGTTGCAGTGGTGCTATATGTCATCTCTCACACACGCACATGCGTAGCCGACAGATTCTCAGGCTTGTAATGTCTACCAAATGTATTCTACATTTATTCTGGCATAAATTCGGTATAAATGTTGTGTTGGCCGCTCGCCCCGCCAGGAGCCGTAGATGGCCACCGCCCCCAGCGAAGCTGAAGCGGCTTCGCGAGAAACGCAGCTGGCCAGCTGATGCAGTGCTAGTGAAGTCAGAATACCTTAAAGGTATAGAATGGGGTGAATATGTAGATCGTAAGAGGAAGAGGGGCGGCCGACTCCTATACGCCCTTCTCATGCCGCCCCGTGTGTCCACAGTCGTGCCCCCCAGTCCGTTATTCCGTCCATACTTTGTCGCTGCCCTCACCCTAGGTACCTCGCGTTGGAGTCTGCCGCCCTCGCCAGAGACGCCGCGTGAGGCCCAGAGAGTGGGGGCCCTGTCCCGCCTGCATTGCGATGAGGCGCTGTTTAGAGGAGCGCATGTACATCTGCGTGGTGTGCACGCATCGCCTAGAAGACATGCACGCTGTAGATCGCGGTGGAAGCCCGAGTGACAGTGATGACTCGGATTAGCTCGAGCTTGTGCACGCCTGGGGAAACGATTCGCCCGCTTCCCATTGTCGTCGCACGCCGTCGACTTCGGTCATCCTTGCACCCTCGCTATCCTTTCTCGCCCGCTTGCCTTTCGAGCTCGCAGTTTTTGCGGGCGCGCCCCGCGCGGGGCGATGGCAGAGGAGGAGAAGCAGAGGAGGAAGGCGGCGGCCGCCGCACTCGGCCCAGAGGAGTTCGCTCACAACATCCCGCGGGCGGAAGCATTGCTGGCGCACATTCGGGGTACAGGATTGGATCCCACGACAACGAAGTCGAATGTCATCGCTGAGTCATTGGCCAGAGCAGATAGTTCGTTCCAGCACAGAGCAGAGACAGCGTTCCAGCTGGGGGCGTGGATGTCAAACTGGACATCAGACGGCAAGATACCGTGGATGACAAGGCAGACTCTGCAGAAGTTCTTGGAAGCTTTTCATCAGAAGGTCATTGCCAGCATCGTCCTTCTGATCATTCGCCATCCTCATAGTTTTCTCGTCTTGGCAAGTCCTCTCTCTCTATATATCTTCGCGCCACCACCACCCCCCTCCCCGCCGCCGCCGCTCGCACCCAGGTCGCCGCTGCAGAAGAGAAGGAAGATCACGCTGGCCACGAGGAGGCCAGAGGAGGAAGCAACGATGATGAAGATGAGGAAGCCAGGGAGGCCGACAAGACAAAAGCGGAGGAGAAATATACGGTCAGGGAGGCCGAAGCGGCGCCGAAAGCCGACAAGGCGTCCCGAGGAGGAGACCAAGGAGGTCGACGCGGAAGGGCCAATGAGGCCGAAGCGGCGCCGAAAGTCGGCACGGCGTTCGGGGATGACCAGAGAGGCCGACGCGCAGATGGCAGTGAGGCCAACGAGCCAGGCTCCCTTGTCGCTGCTGCCAAGAGGAGTGCCCAGCTGATGGGCATCATGGCAGGGCGAGAAGAAGTGCGCATCAAGAAAGTAAGGACTGGCTCATTGGAGCTCTGTCCGCCATCGAAGGATAAACAAGAGCTCGAGGCGACCGACGGTCGGACAGCTGGTCGGGCGAGTCGGGCGCCTGTGACGCCGACGAAGGGCCGCGAGGAAGCGCGCACGAGAGCTAAGAACGCTGCCCCGACCAGCGATCACCGTAAGGATGACGAGTCGACGTCAGACTTCTCCGAGTTGCCGCCCGAAGACCCTAACATAACTAGAGGAATGAATAAGGCGATACAGAACGCGAGGAAGAGCAGTGCCGACAACGACAAGAAAAAACACTGGTACTACCGCAAGAAAAACGGTGTCTGGCTCAAGTCGTGGGTTACCGCAGATGAAACGCAGAAGAGGCCGAAGCGGCAGATTAGTCCCACTGTGCCCCACCGTTCAAGGCCGACGTCCGCGCTGAAGGCTCCAGAGAAGGAGGCAGAGTGGCAGGCAAAGTCGCGGCCATGGCCATGGCGTGCTGACAGCTCGTGGTGGAACTCGGGGTGGACTGCCGATGCCTCGTGGAAGAAGGCTTCCGATGATGCCTCGTGGAAGAATGCTTCCGATGACGACGACTCGTGGGGCAAGTGGACTGGCGAGACCGACTGGCGGTCGGGATCTGGCTGGTGACAGCGGCGGCAAGAGGCGGCCAGGAGGCGTCAGGAATGAGGGCCGCCAGGGGCGGCGAGGCTGAGGACAGCCATGAGGCGGCCAGGAGGCCGAGGGCCGCCAGGAGGAGGCGGCAGCACTGAGGGGCGCGCTGGCCCCACGGCGCGAAGGGCCCGCTGGCCCCCGCGCGGAGGACGCGGCGCAACTTGCGCGCACCGCGTCGGCGAACAAGCATTCGCTCTTTCTCCTCCTATCTTTCTTCTCGGGGTCCCTGGTTTTTCAAATCCAGGTCCGATTTAAATCTGTAGATCCCGTGGTTTGTTCTCACGCACTACAAATCCCGTGTATGTTAGGCGATATCGCCCCGCGCGCTGCGCGCCCGTATACGAAACAATATTCGTAGACATATGCCCTCAACAATGCGCAAAAGTGCTACAGTACGTACCGTGCGACCGTGGGAAGAAAACGAGCGTCCGTGCGTGTAGGGAGGAGGGATGGCGAAAGGAAGGAAACGAGAAGAGAGGGGAGCGCTAGCGCGCGGGTGCGGTCGTTCTTGTGTGTTGTAGCCGCTTCTCAGGGCAAGCGTTCCCCCGCGCGTGCGTATAGCGTACATGTGCATATGTATGTGCGTGTACATATATAATCACATACATATGTACATATATACACATATAATATGAATGCATATATGCTATATATACGTAAATACGTATATACATATACTCGTATCTACATATATACATACATATATATATACATATATATGTATATATATATATACATACATATATATATATATATATATATATATATATAAACAACATAGCAGAAAAAATGGATCCAAGCGAAAAATGGATCCAAGACAGAAAGTGGATCCGGAAAAGCTGGCCCAAAGAAAGTGGATCCGGCAAAACACGTTTTTACACAAACACCGCTCTTGGATCCAGAAAACGGATCCTGAGGACCTCTGGGAAGCGCTGCGCGAGCGGCTCACCCTCGACGTGGAAGTCCTCGCCCACGGCGTAGTTGGCCCATGCCAGCCAGTCCCGAAGCGCAGCTTCCACTGCGGTCCGAGCCACGTCCTCCTTCGGAAACACCGCAAGTGACTGTTCTGTTTTTCTTTCCCGGGCAACGGCCGTTACCTACCTGGGAGGGGGGTCGGGCCGGGGGGCAACGGCAATGGCGGCCGCGGCGTGCGCCCGCCAGGGCGCGGCCGCGCCACCGGCGCCCGCTTTCAGCAAGCAGGGGGCTGGCCCAGGCCCCCCCCCCAGCACGATCATTAGCGTTGCCCGGGGGTGGGGTTGGCCCAGGTAACGAGCGTTACGCTGGGGGGATAACAAACAAAAAAACAACAAACAACTCGCTAAAGATCCCAGGATCCGTGGCGCGAGCCCAGTCGGCTGTCCGCGCGATGGGGACCCTGGGCGCGGCTTTGGCAAGGTCGCCGCGCTCCTTATCGAGCCTCGCCATCCGCTCCTCGAAATGAGCACGAGCCCGATCATTATCATCACATCGTAAGTCAAGGCTCTGCATGTGTCGATCGATGGCCGCGAACCGCCGCTGCTGCGTCTCGTCGAACTTGTTGAGAAGCGGCTCGATGACGCCAGGGAGCCGCCGACTGACAAGGGAATGCACAACTCCTTGGTGGCGCTCTCTCTGAACCTCGTCGAGCAGTTGCTTTTTGAAGGCGTCCAGCTCCGAGTGCAGCATCGAGCCAGCCCAAGGATCAATCCGTGGGCCACCATAGTCACCACCT